CACCACTGTGCTGTCTGTAGACTTCATGCCCAGCCTCTCTAGCACTTGCCTTCCCCTCTGGACCATCGAGGGCCCTGAAGGAGGTGAGGGGGAAATGGTTACCTCGCCTGTACTTCAGGGGTTTCCACACCAAGGTTACTTTTCCTTGTGCTGCTTTTTCCAGTTTGCCAACTCCTTAACCTGAAGGATACAGAAATCCACTTGAGGCACAGAGTTACAAGGTTCCCAAGAACAGCAAGCAAACGAAGCAAGGGCTCTTCTGCATGAAGAGCATTAATAATTAATGTAAGGAATTAAATTCCAAAAACTCTAAGAACATGATTCAAGTCGATTACCTCATTTTGCTGCAGGTTTATTCAAATAGAACCATCCACCAAATTGGTTTAAACACAGTCCAGGAGTGTGTCTCACCGATATCCTCTCACCTCAGCTGTTGATAACAATTTGCTTTGTCCATTGGGCATTATACTTATTGAAGATCTTAAGCTTTGCGGATGATCATACAGTGGATGTTTAATAGATAAATTTTGCAGATTGGAGCTAAGATCTTGTATAAAGGAGCCTCTTGAATTGACAGAAACAATAGTACTCTGAAGCACCTGTTTGCGCACCTAGTTGAGACACAGGTACTTTAAGAAAACCCTTGGGCAAAAGGAATTTATCATTTAATATGTATAGAGGGATTTATCACATAAAGTGGGCGAGAGCTTAGTTTTGCAGCTCTCACAGTTGAGGCATTAGCCCCGGAGAGAGTGCTTTGATGTCTAACTTCTGGGGACCAGGGACCGCTTGCCTGTGGTGCCGAGTGGGTTCTGCTCCAGGCGCCTGGGAAATACTTCTGAGTCTTGCTCTTCACGGGAGGCGGTGCAGTGTCAGCGTGGGTAACACTTTAAAGTCTTCTTTTATTCTTTTTCTCTTATTTTAAGTGACATTTTATTAGCGTGCAGAGATGCTATTAGGACAGTATACAGTTCAAATTAGGTAGCCTGGAGCAATTTCAGTAAGAAAACTTACTGCACTTCTCAGGAGTCAGTTAGGTTTTTATTCTCCTCCGTTCACCCACATCACAATTACTCATTTTACTCACCCTCACACACGGCGGCTACCTCAACCTCTGCAACTATAGAAACGTGTCTTTCATTGGGCTAAAATCCTTCACTCCCCATAGAAGTTACCTTGTTTGGTATTGGTTTGTTATTTCCATGCTTGGTTTGAGATTTCAGGGATAATGGTGAGAAAAGATAGATTATGATTCACCTTTCACCAACCGCCTTTGAAAGCCTTAGAGAACAAAGAAATCTGACTGTGGGATTTTACAAATAATAACAAGTGCCATATGTTGAATTCTTATATTGTCCCAAGTACTTTGAGAGATGCCTCACGAAACTGTTTTGATTCTTATAACAACCTATAAAATATGTATTGTTTTCCTCATGTTATAGATGAGGAAACTGAGAGTCAGCCAAGATAAAAAGTTCTCCATGGTCCTAGACCTGGCAAAACACGGAACCAGATTTCACCCGCTCTGTTCTGCCCTGTGCCTGGTAAACAGTTCAGAACAGGATGGCAACGTTAGACGCCATTATGAGTGGAAGAAATGAATAACATTTTTAAAGTTTGTTTCACAAAACATCCATCCAGTAAATCAGCATCTTTTATGTCATGGGTAAGAAAGCCGTCACTGGTATTCTTTAAACAGCCCGTGCAAATAACAGAACTTGAGGAACTCGTTACATACTTGCTGTTAGATAGTAACTTACTGTATTTGGAGTTGCTCTAGATTTGGAAGAGTTAAAGTTCCTTCCAAGAATTGAGAAATTGAAATGATTTCAGATATTCCAGATAACCAGCCAAGGTCACCAAGGAAACTGCCCCCTCGAGAGCTGTGCAGTTGCCCAGGCGAGGGGCAGCCTGCCATGTCTGCCTTGCAGCGGGCCGGCGGGCGTGGGTGAAAGCAAAGCACTAGAAAGGCTTGTTTATTTGAGGTCACAAAAAAGGGGATAAAGTGTTTGTGCCTATTGCAGGAGGCCAGAATACCTCAGATCCAGTTGGGGCATAAGTGTGTTTTCTTAACGGATGGCAGCATGGTCAGGGAGAGCATCCTGGGTGTAGAACAGAGGGACCTAGAAGATGGTCCCTTGCACCTTCGTTCCCCTGTGTCAGTGCTAAGGTTTCATTCAGCATGTAGGTAATTCATTTTATTTTTTTAAATATATATTTTTTGTTTTAGGGAGAAGGAGACAGAAACATCGATGCATTAACATCAATAGGTTGCCTCCTGCACTCTGCCCCCTTTTCCTCCCCCACTTGGGATGGAGCCTGAAACCCAGGCATGTGCCCTGACCAGGAATCAAACCAGTGACCGCTTGGTACATGGGTTGATGCTCAACCACTGAGCCACGCCATCCGGGCTGTAGTTCATTTTATGACCCATGAATATTTTGCTGGTTATAATTCTTCTCTTTGTATCACATACATGAAAATATATGCTGCTGTTGATTCATTTAGTTGGAAAGCCTAGGTTTTTGTTTGTTTTTTTCTCAAAGCAGTATCGGAAGGTACGTTGCTTCAATGAACCCGAGGACCTGTTTACTTTGATAAACTAACAGATGAAGTGCTGATGGTTTTACGGTAGAACTAACATCGATCTTTTGCAACTTCCAGGGCCTGTAATTCAGTGTTTACAGCATTAGACCACTGTCATGAAGCCATAGAAATAACAAGCGATGAGCATGTGATTCAGGTACGGGGACATTTTTTATCTTTAAATGTCAAAGTAGAACCTTTTAAGTTTGAGCCACCCTTTTTCAAGCACTTTCCTTTAATTCTTACACTTTAGCACATTTTCTTTGGAGAAAGGAACACCAAAGTATTCAAAGAAAACTGATAGTGTGGGCTATTTCCCAGGGGTCAATAAGAGAATAAAGGGGACATATGTAATACTTTTAACAATAAAGATTTTGTTTTAATTTTTTTAAAAAACCTTATAGACTTAAGCTAAGAATTAGATATTTAATAAGAATAAAATTATACTCAAATCAGAGCCTGTAATTTCTTTGACAAAGGTGTACTAAATTCTTTGGACCATCTGTGAAGATAGCATTTACACAGAAGTGTATCAGAATTGTAGAGTAAAGGCTTATAAGTGCTTATGGGAACAAAATATTTTCTTTTTTCTTTCTTTCTTTCTTTCTTTATTTATTTTTAAATATATTTTATTGATTTTTTACAGAGAGGAAGGGTGAGGGATAGAGAGTTAGAAACATCGATGAGAGAGAAACATCAATCAGTTGCCTCCTGCACATCTCCTACTGGGGATGTGCCCGCAACCAAGGTACATGCCCTTGACCGGAATCGAACCTGGGACCCTTCAGTCCGCAGGCCGACGCTCTATCCACTGAGCCAAACCGGTTTCGGCGTATATATTTTTTTTTTAATTTGTCAGTTACAGTTGACACTTACATTTTATATTAGTGTCAGGTGTACAGCATAGTAGTTAGATATTTATATAATGTACAAAGTGATCCCCCCATAAGTGTACTATCACCTGACATTATATACAGATATTACAACATTACTAAATTCCCTATGCTGTACGTTAATCCCTGTGTTTGTTTTAAATACCAATCTGTACTTATTTTTTAAAATATTTTTTATTGATTTCAGAGAGGAAGAGAGAGGGAGAGAGAGATAGAAACATCAACGATGAGATAGAATCATTGATTGGCTGCCTCCTGCATGCCCCCTACTGGGGATCCAGCCTGCAACCTGGGCATGTGCCCTTGACCAGAATCGAACCTGGGACCTTTCAGTCCGCAGGCTGAAGTTCTATCCACTGAGCCAAACCGGTTAGGGCCCAATCTGTACTTCTTAATCCTTCACCTTTTTCACCCAGTCCCCAGCCTTCCTCCCATCTGGCAGCCACCAGTTTGTCCTCTGTATCTAAGAATCTGTTTCTTTTGGGAACAAAATATTTTCAAGGGTGTTCACTTATTTATAGTTGGTATTCTAATAACAAGGCACTCTAATGTACTAAAATCAGCTTCCTAAGGAAATGTGTATAGTTAGTAGGCAAGCCTTCGTTGAAATTACATTGTTGTATTTGTTGGAAAGTAAGGCATGTATACTTAAAACACACTCTGAAATGCAGGCTTTCCTCTGATGGCCACACCTGGTTTGCGTAGGGGCACTGAGTGTGAGGAACACGTACTCTCCTCAGTAGAGACCAAAGTCAGTGTTCAGCACAGTGGACCCACGGCAGACAGAGCCCACATTTGCTCTCCTGCATACGCCCCACTGCACACACAGACACAGCTGCTCTCATACCGAACCAATGACATCAGCACCCACCACGCCTAGGCCGGTCGTCGTCATGTTCATAAGGTATCTCATTTCCATGCAGTAACCCTATGAAAGAGACACAAGTGTCCCATTATACAGATGGGGAAACTGAGGACCAGCAAGGTCAGGAACTTACCCAAGGAAAGCTGTGGTCATAAATAGGAGACGCAAAATAGGTAGCCCTGTCTTTCTGACTCCGAAGCCTTTCCATGTGGTGTCCTGTTTGGCTTAATGCATGGGAGTGTTTCTTGAAATGGATCTGAAAGCGTCCTCATCTCATTGGCCGTTTCTGCTCTAGACCAAGCACACCCCCACCTGTTTCCAGACTTGAGCAGTCAGGTCTCTTCATGAAGCACGTTCGCTTTGCACCTCCCTGTTTACAATGGGCAGCCGGGGGTGACCTCAGTAATGAGGAGAAGGGGCTCCCTGCTCTCTATTCACCTTCCCCACTTGTAACCTAACAGATGGCGCTTTCATAGCGTCCTTCATCCACAGTGGGCACCTGGGGCGGGAAACCCTGTGCCTCCGGGAGAGGTAACACGGTGATGCTGTCAACACGATGTCAATCACCTCCCAGCCTATGCCGTGAGCAGGACCAAAAGGGCTGAGGACGGTGGGTGCCTGGACAGGGGAGACTATACAGACTGCAGTTTTTTTGGGGGGAACCTGTCAGGCCCCTTTAAAAACCTACCAGCCCTCTGAGGATAACACAAGCGCGAGGAGGAAGACGTGGACCGGAGCATGTTGTATGTGAGGGAACTGAGATGATCTCTGTGTGTGGGTTTTGAGATGGTCCTGACAGGCTCTTCCAGCAGGTCCCCTGCACCCCAGCAGGCTTTCCTCCAGGCGTCCCCGAACTGACCCGTGACCACTTCCGTTCACAGTATGTCAACCCAGCCTTCGAAAGGATGATGGGCTACCACAAGAACGAGCTGCTCGGGAGAGAACTCGCGGAGCTGCCCAAAAGCGATAAGAACCGGGCAGACCTCCTCGACACCATCAACACGTGCATCAGGAAGGGCAAGGTGGGTGACACTAACAACAGCCCGCACACGCCTCCCCAACGCACTCGCCTCTACTGTGGGTTTTTATGTCACATCGTAAAGATTGGCTTCTTTCGTGATGTTATAATTAAATGAAACATGTTTGTGTTTGCAAAATGGATATCCAGCAAATCTGGGGCTTATGATGACACTACAGAATCTGGCAGTTTTTTCTAAGGCAACATCATCGTTTGCATGAATACGCCCCACCTGTCATTCCTGGAATATCATTCGCGCCGATCCCGCCCATAGAGCTGATATGTGTCAGCTTATCCAGTGTTTGGGGGACTAGATGTATTTAGTGTCAGTGTTCACACGTAGGCCCAGTTGTCCTTTTCCTGTTCTCTAGCACCCAGTTCATAGAGAGATGGCTTCCGTCTCCCTGCTGCACCCATTGGTCCCCGTAGACGAGGGCAGCGGTGCAAATGCAGCAGCATCTTCCCTCGAGCCCTCCCCCCGGGCGCGTTGCTGTCCCAGCCAGAATGGCCTCGCATTTTCTCCTGAGCACTCAGGGTGCTTTCTCACATGTTATTGCTTTCATCTTGCTTTCTTGGATCTGAAGTAGTTAGATGACCATTGTTTTCATTTCATGGGGGGCTGTTGTACAAACATAAAGTAGTTTGGATTATATATGATGCCCAGAATTAATGTTTTAAAAATGGGGGCAGTGGGAATGAGAAAGAAACAGGACATTGGCAAGTCATCCAGAATACCCACCAGAATACTGCCCCATGGTGGCCCGACGTGCGTGCTGGTGAGCCACCTGTGGAGGGGCAGC